GCCCGTCAGGCGCTGTGCCAGGGAGCTCCAGCTGCCTGTGCACGAGTGGCCGCACACGGGACCCGCGGGGCAGTTTGATGTGGGTGTGGTGGCATCTTTTGGACGTCTTCTAAGCGAGGAGCTCATTCTGCAGTTCCCATAGTAAGTGTGTGGACAGGACATCTGTCACTGCTTTGTTAGCAAAGCTGCACTCTCCTTTTGAGGCAGCATCTGTGACTTGCAGTAGGTGAGGTCTGCTTCCCTGGGTTCATATGCTTAGTCTGAGCCTTATTGCTGTCATGGTGAAATTCAGTGTTCTTTGACACATGGGTGTAAATTTATGCAAATATTCACCAGAACATTTGCCTTTATTCCTCACATCTCTTTCTGTGTTCGCTGATAAGCTGTTTATATAGTGTGAATTTTCCTTCAGGTGCGTATTTAAGCCAGTAACACATGAGAACATATGAGCAGATAGTAGTTCACTGTAATATACGTTGCACTCCATTTACATATGTTTCAGGTACCATTCCTGTTCTAACCTGTGAATATTTCATTCCAGTGGGGTGCTGAATGTCCATCCCAGCTGTCTCCCACGATGGCGTGGTCCTGCACCCATAGTCCACACAGTGCTTCACGGTGATAAGGTGACTGGGGTGACAGTTATGGAAATAAGACCAAAAAGGTGGGTTTCATGTCCTTTGCAGACAACTCACTGTTGCTGTTGCCTCTCAGGGCTTTAAATAATCGCTGCTGAAGTCATCATTCAACTCATTCTACATAACCACAGTTTTCTTAAATGTATGTAATTAAGGTTTTAAACACTTAAAAATGTTCATCTAACTATATGACATTTGCCACAATTACAGTATTTTAATAAGTGTGCAATTTGCACTTCCGGGCTGTTCTCTAATTCTTAGCATTATCACAAGGAACAGACAGAGAGCAGTCACACAGCTTTATCAATAGGCTTGGTATGACAGGACAGAAAATATCTGATTTTCAGACTTCAGAGTCCCCTGTAACATCCTGTAAGTGGACAGAAGACAAGAAATTGCCTGTCTAGGCATGAGGAAGATTATATGTTTTAGTTTCAGCCCAAGCTCTAGCTTAAAAGGCTTGAGCCTTTTAAAATACATTATGTAGTTACCTTTTCTTTCTGATATTATTGTCTAATAATAGATCTCAGGAAAGTGTGAAGCAAATTTCATCTTAAATATTTCAGGCTGTTTCTTCTTAGATCTCATGTTCTGAACTATAAATTGTGCATTCATATCAGTCTCAGCTTGCTGAGGACAATCTTGCTGCCAAGATTGGTATTCTCTTCCTTGTGTTGTCTTGTGAACCAAACATTTGATAATGTGAAATGACATCTGAAAAATAGTTTTAGAGGGGATAAAAAAGGATAATTAGTAACTGAGCTAATGTATTGAATGCAGAGTTTTGAACTGCTAATTAAGCTTCAGCTTCCCCAGTAAGGTTGTGTGTTTTCTGCCTTGCAGGTTTGATGTAGGTCCAATTATTAAGCAAGAAGAGGTCGCTGTTCCTCCCCACTGCACGGCACAGGAGCTGGAAGGGATCTTGGCAAAGATGGGGGCAAACATGGTAAAGTCCTGCCAGCTGTGTCACTTCTGACTGGTACTTTTGCTTTTAATATGTGCAAACAGAATTCTTACTAATCTTGTTCTGAGCTGGCTTCAAGTTTAGGAGGAGGATGATGTGAAACTTGGTGTTTGTGAGCACTTTGCTGAGAGGAGAGCTCAGTGCTCTGTGGTCAGGTGTCAGTGTCAGTCCTCTGTGTGCTGTTGTGTTTCTATTCAGTGAAGAACCCAAATGCTCTCTGTGGAAACAGTGCAGGTTCTTTAAATTAATATCTGCTTTTTTATTTGAATAATCAGCTTTTGTTCTCTTCTGGAATTAATATCAGAGAAGAGATCATCCATATAAAATAATTGCGTTTTTTCATTGTGATTCAGTGGGAAGGATGTCTTTACTGTCTCTGAATATACATGTCTTTACATTTTCTGAATATACTGAGCCAATTTTCTAAAAGCTCACAGGACAGTTTCACTCTTGAAAAATTAAGTTTTACTTTGTTTATTATTGATTAAACTTAGCTTGACTAATACTCTGTACAAAATTTAATTTTGCAGCTGTTAGCAGTTTTGAAGAACTTGCCTGAAAGTTTAAAAAACAAAAAAGAGCAGCCAAAAGAAGGAGTAACATTTGGTAGGTACACATTGTTTTTAATGTGACTTGTTCATTTTTTCCTTGATCAGCAGGAAAATTGAAGTTTTCTGCCATGCTGCATTGTAGTTTTTTAGGTTCATTTCTCAGTATGCACTCTTCACTGCCTTCTGTGGTTTAAGAATGTTATACAGGAGAAAAATGCTTCAGAATTCTTCAGACTTACTGCATTAATTTTTTTTTCCAGTTATTTGTACAATATCAAAATCACTATTGATGTCACAAGATCTGAGTTTGTTATTCCTCATTGTTGTAATGCAGACAGAAGGGTTAGAACTGTACTTATGAGCATGATATAAGTTTGCACTGCAATGGGTAAATAAAGAGAACAACTGAGAATAACAAATAATCCAAATTGAGGTGTTTACAAAATATTTTCTCCGATTTTTGCCTGAGCTACCTTGGCTGCATGGTAGACCCACTATTGGTCAGGAAAAACTGAGGTTTAAAATAGGATAAAGTAGTACAGCTGCTTGCTAAAAGATGCAAAGCAAATTAAGAGGTCTTCTAATTTCTCTTTTCCCTGCAGCTCCTAAAATCTCTATAGCGAAGAGTTGTATAAAATGGGAAGAGCAAACAGCTGCACAGATAATTCAGCTGCATCGTGCAATAGGGAGTATGGTGAGACTGGATTTTTTGCAACCCTTTTCTGTCCTGTAGCATGGCTGAGTTTGATGTAGATATTTTAACTAATCACTATACCTCAGTTTTAGTTATTTTAGCTTGTTTTTGAAAGTCCTGGTAGTTTGTCATTAGAAGTGAAATTAATGCACAGGAGAATTTTCATGCACTCGATCCCAAGTGTGAAATCAGCTCAAAAATTTTATATTGTTTCCTTAGCTCTGAGATTTTCCCTGATGTATTTGAGGAGGTTTGGAATGCTGCAGTGACATCTCTGCATGGCAGTAACCAGCAAACAGCCACAGTGAAGAGCTGTTGTAGCTCATTGCTTAACTCATTTCTGCATAGGCTAATGGTTAGAGTTGAGGAAGGGAAAGGAAAACTGAGTCTGATAAGGAAAATCTCCTATCTACACATACAGCTACATTTTCCCTTAATGTTATTATCACAGGTATTTTGCCTGAGGAAAAAATAGCCTGGAAATGTGAAAACTTTCTGAATGTGTCATCTGTTTCTGTTTCCAGTTTCCATTGCAGACGCTCTGGAAGGGTACTACCATTAAACTCCTGGATTTTGTGGAAGTGGATAATATCCCTGGTTTTTCTGGTATTTACTCTTAAATTGTTAAAATTTTTAAACCATTTTCTTTAAGAATCTGAGTGCCATGTGGGCCAAGGTGTGTGACTGATCAGGCCTTAGTGAGTGTTCATGGATCAGATGTGGAGTAGTGCCAGAGAATGACTGTTCTGATCGTTTCTGTTCATTTGGTTATAATAAAACACAGAATACAATAAAATATTTTTCAGCAAAATAGTGACTCAAGATGGTTATCAAGCTTCAAAGGAACAGAAGTGGTTCAAATATTTTCTGTACTTTTTGGCATAAAAATGCAGGATGATCTTTCTTTGCTTTTAGATCAAATACAAAATGACTGTGACGTTGTTCCTGGTTCAGTGTTGTTCCATAAAATGTCCCAAACATTGATAGCTCACTGCAAGGTAGGCTTTCCCCATTTGTTTGATATTCACTGCCCTAAAGATGAGGTTTTTGGTATTTGTGTGGTGCATAACTTTTGTCTTAATTATCCATTGTTAGTCTCTGTTCTAGTTTAGATCAGCACCAGATGTTTTATTTGACACCTTAAACTTTTAATTTCCATTAACAGACTTTGCACATTTGCAAGCAAGAATTGGACTTGTTAGCCTGTTAACATTGAATAAAATGTATTTTGTAAGCCAGCCTGTGGGAGCTAAAGATAGCTTTAAACAAGAAGCTTACTGCTTTTTCTGTTTGTTTTTGTTTTTAGGAAGGCTGGGTTGGAATCAAAACAGTTGTTTTAAAGAAGAAGCTTACAGCAGTTGACTTCTACAATGGATATATGCACTCTTGGTTCCAGCAGAATCCAAGAACAGTTCATCAGGAATGCAGATTTCAAACACTCAAACTTAGCATGGCAAAAAAGACTCTGAAAGAGAGGGGAATATTGGCACAGGATATAAAGCAATAAATGTATTTCTTTAATGTCTGTAAGTTAATATAAAATATTTCAAAGCCCAGCTATAACAGTCAACTTAATAAGGGGATTTCTTCCCATAGTGTTTGATCTTATTGTCATCTACATGTTTTCATGGTGGGTTCCTGAAGATACTTCTTCTCTTTCCCCATTAAGGAAGAGAATCTCCATGAGTGCTGTAGATATTGAATAAATCCCTGTTTCCACTGTTGAGAAATAAATTTATTTTTATACAATATTTTCAGGGGGTTTTTTTGAGGACTTTGGTATAATTTTCTTCAGGCGTAAGTTTTGGACAATTACTTTAATCTGGAAATACTAAAATGCAGTGAGCTTTTTTAATGCTCACTGGGACTTAGACTTGTCTAGTTTGATATTCTTGTGGATCCTAAAATTCACTTTGTATCCCTGCATTGAGGTGAATAACTTAGCTGGGAACATAAGAGAATCTTTCCCTGTCCATCACGATTTTCTTCCCTCCCCTTTCTGTTTTCATGTCCTCAGATACATCTCATTTAAAATTTTTGTGCCCTCTATCCAGAAAAGTTATGTTCTGCTATTTCACTTTCTGGTGGGAGAGGTTTTTACCTGATGAGGAGTTAATCTAATCCAAGATTTTCCTCAATATGTCTTTGTTTAATGGCATATACAAGGAATATTTCATGTCAAGAACCCCAAAACTTGTGATTCTTACACTTTCTTGTCTTAGGAGAGGTAATATAGCACTGGGCATAACAGCAGAGCAAAGACTGGCTGTATCTTAGGAGCTGTTCTAATATTTGCTAACCTTTTCCTGCTTTTTCTCAGTTCTACTGAAGTAAAAGCAAAAATGCTAGAAAAATGTCATATCACAAGGATTAAAATGTTTCTGAAGAAGCATCTGTTAAAGCAGCTGCTGCAGTATTTTTCTTCTACTGCCATTAGATCATCAATTAATTGCCTCTGACAGGTTTTCCAAAACACATGGTCCTCCAAGAAATCCAAGCCTATGAATCAGAGTCAAAAACTGGAAACAAGAGCAAGGTGGAAGTCAGGCTCCTGTAGAGAATTCCTGTTGTTCCTGACCGCAGACTCTGCAGTTTGTGCTGCAGAAATTCTAAATCTGGCAAGTTTGCTTCCAAGAAAATTATGTGTTTTTGTGTTTTGCTCCCTGCTACCTTTTGCAAGTGCAAGTTGTGGAGTCACTTTCTTTTTATTCCGTTCAGATCAGTCTGGAAATGTTAGTAATTGCATTATGCCAATAGAAGGGTGGGTGGGTCAGTGAGTTTTCTGTGGGTTTGTGGGGATAGTGGGTGGTTTGGAGAGTTTTCTGGGGCTTGCTACCTCAGTGTATGGCAAAACCCCACCACCACAATTTAGAGATAATTTTAAGCACTAATGATTAAGAGTTTCGGACTTAAGTGTTAGTTAGCTGGGGCTCAACAGTTGCAGTGTTTCAGGATCCAAATTTTCAGATGTTCCAGGTCCTAAGGCACTGGAAAATTAGTTCTTGTTCATTATAACCTGAGCAAAATGAACAGCCAGGCATGACTCCCACAGAAAGAACACAGTGACAAAAGTTCAGGCAGAATAGTCCAGGTTAAAGTCTTTTAGATAACCAAAGTGTTAAATCAGTAGCTGCTTCCTGGCAGTGACATGAGGAAAATTCTTTTAACTCCTTTGTGCATCTCTCATCCTCAGTTTTAGGTCACGTCCGGTGTGAGACCTATTGGTGGCAGACAATAATCTGGCTCTCACTAAAGCATAAAGCAACAGGAAGAATTTGTGTTCTGGGAAGTTTGAGGTGGCATGTGCCCAGAATCCCTGTAGATGGAGCTCGCTGCATCCCTTTTGGGTGAAAACCAAGGACAGCTGGACAGAAGATGGTGAAAATCTGGTACAGAATGCCTTCAGTTAGTTGTTTAATAGTGAATAATGTCTAAACCATATTTCAGCCAGGATCCCATGTACTTGTAATTTAATCTTTTGATCTGTGCAGAGTTTGCTATAAGGCTTCTTTTGCTTTCTGTGTGAGAGGTTATAAAAGATAAGGCCATTCTGAGTTGTTTAATAGCTAATGTCCTAGCTCTGAATATGTACAACTTTACCCAAGTCATTTTATGGAGCAAAAGAAGGTAAGATTAATTTATTTTTTTATGGTGAAAGTCTTTGGCATGCTATTTTTGGCATGGTAGAGAAGTTTTAAATGGAACTGGTGTTCCCCAGGCAGCTGTTAGCCAAAATGTCTCTTTGGAAACTTTGCTTTCACCTGGCTCTGCAGGGATTTAACTCAGTAAGTAATGAAAATCTGATTATTTTTGCAGAACAGACAGAACAAAAATAGGGCATTCACTGATGAGGTGTGGAATAGCATGTCAGGGTTGACTCTGGAACACAGACCCAGTGATTCGATCCCCAGTACCACTGATGGGGTTGAGTACAGCTACCCTGGCCGTTGGAATGGGATCTTAGGAAAATAAAACAGCTGTTCTCCTCTCAGAGGAGAGAGGGAAAGCAACAGAGGTATTGACAGACCCAATGTCCACTATGGCTCAGTTTAACATCACTGGGACCAAATTACTGGCAGAACTGCAAAATATTTGGGCACCAGAAGGGCTCTGGTGTTGGATAGGGATGATTTCATCATGGATTTCAAATAAATGTTAGTAGAGGGAGTGATATTTCCTAGGATGCTGGTGACTCACGGTTAGATGCATCTGTTTCATGTTCCGCAACCTTACTACTCCCCCTGCTTCCTAGGAAACCTCTTTATTCCTGTTTTCTGAATACATTACAAATAAATAAAAAGTATAAGTGACTAATCAGAGAAGTACTTGAGCCTTTTTATAAAGTTGTTTGCAAAATCCCCCAATAATTTGCTGGTTGAGGCCAGACAAGAATCTCTCTCCTTTTGTTTATTCTATCTGCTAGTGTCCTGATGGCTTCTGGGAAGCAATAGTTTCCTTCACAAACAGGAGGGATAGGTCACTGGATTTATCTCTGGATTGGAAACTAAGCGACCTTAATGGGAGATGCTTTGCCATTAGCCACAAACCTGCTGATGTTGAGGAGCCAGGTCTCCTTCTTCAGCCTGTTGCTCAAGGTTGGTGGTCCAAAGCCTAAGGCCAAGGGAGGAGCTGAGTCCCAGCCTTGCTGCATTCCTCCAGCTGATGCTCTCTGTTATGTGGGAGTGTGCATTTGGTTTCATGCTGCAGGAAGGACACAGCCATACACTGACCATAAACACAAGCTGGAGGAGTCAGAACTGACACTGAACTGTAGCATAAAATTTGTGTGAGTAGCAGATGCCAGGACCCTGCAGTAGCTTTGCTCCTATATAAACTTTTCTTAATGTATTTGGGATGGTGGCTCATCAGTAACAGTGAAGTGCTAGCACTGAGTGGTGGTTATGTCATGGTTGTTTTCTGTTGGTAGTGCTTAAGCACCCGTGATGGAAACCTCTGTCTTGCTCTGTGTCCAGCACAGTCTGCCAGAAGCCTCCTGGGAGAGCTCAGGGACTCAGTGAGTGCACAGATTAGTTTGTTCCTCCAAGTCAGTGCTAAGCTGCAGAGGGGGACAGTTTGGGGAAACTTGGAGAGCTTCTGGCTGTTCCAGGCTGTAGGGCCGTGACTATTTCAGTGCTGTTAAACACACTTTTCTCCCCAGAAGGAAGAGCCCTGTGTTTGACTGGCAAGCCCACATGCAGCACAGGGATCAGATCCTCAGCCTGCTTTCATCCATTTATCTCCTGGGTTTGTCTGTAGAAGTCATTTGTGTTACTTCACTCTCAAAGTGATGAAACAAAGTTTGGGATTTGGCTGTCTGTCTGCAGAGGAGGAGGGGAGCAGAGGGAAGAGACATTTCCCTGCACAAGCCAAGAGCTCTGTGGGAAGGTCCAAGCTAATGCTCCCCACTGGCTGCCTTGGCTCCAGCTCCTGCCAAGCCCTTGCAGCAGACTAGACACAAAAGAAAACACACTGAGTCTAAATTCATTGGTATGAAGAGGATGTGCCAGAGTATTCCACAGCTCTTCCTTTTCTACTTTTCTTTGATAACTGTCAATTTGCATAAAAAGGTAGATTATTAAGGGGGTTTTTTTAACCTGTTAAAGCATAATTCAGCCTGTCCTGTGTTGGACCTGAGAACAAGCTTGCTAAACACTGTCGAAAGATTCTTGATGCCCTTGATGGGAGTGGGTATGGCAGCATAGGCCTAGAACTGGCTTCATATCCATAGGAGGGGATTAGGTAGGAAAGGGAAATCCATGTTGGAGCATGTGTTTGAATTCCAGTTTGCATCCAATTGCACTGCCACATTTTTATTATCTCTCTTGGTGGGAGTTTTGGTGTCAGAGACTTGCTGGTTTTTCTGCACCCCAAAATTTTATTGCCAGTGTTTGCCTGTAAACACAAGGTGTCTTCCATGCTGTGAGGTCCTTGATTTCACTCTAGGAAGGGTAGGGGTGGAAAGGACAATTTGATAGGTCACTTGGAGAGGGATCACTGACCCCTTCTGTGGCCAGCTGTACCTTCAGCTAAGAGCAGCTTCTTGCCAGCTCCTTATGCTCACTGCTGCTGAGTGTGGAGGGAAGCCCAACTTCTCCCTATCTCCATCCAGCACTGCTCTACATTGCCTGGTTTCCTGTCATCCTTAAAGCACAAATTCCCAGCCCTCCTTTCCCTCTGTCTTGTGCCACTCCTTAATTCATCCCTGCCCAGACCTGCTGCTCTGATTCTCCCAGAACCATTGCTGACTCCCCACTTGTCAAGCTGGGGAGAGATTCCCTGACTGCAGCATGTCATGGGCAAACCCTGGAGCTGCAGGAGAACCAGGCATGCACAAAACCCCTCACACATATCCAGGATCAGTCTCATAAAGTTGTGACCTGTTTGTGAACATAAAGATGAAACCCTGCAGGTTATTCTTTGCTCAGCTCTACAGGTGGTTTATTTAATTGGGCATTTCAAACACAAAAGTGACACACATTGTCAAAGTTACAAAATTACTTTTTTTATTAACCTACCCTATCAAAGAGCATAGATTTTCTTGTCAAACAATGCAAGAAGCAAGAGAAAACTTATCTGTATCTATGTGGAGCCTACAAATCCAAATGGCTTCTCCATGCTATTGAGCATGCGAGTCCTTAGAAATGCAGCTGCCAGTAGTTTAGCTTGAATACAGTAATTCTAAAACAAGCTAGAAATAAATAAAATACTTACATTTCAAGTACGAAACCTTGCAGTTGAATTCTGTATGAGGAAATCAGTTTATTCCTTTTCATGTTACCAACTACTGTACAGGTACTTGGGCTGGCAAAGTCTGCAGATGCAGAACAGAAGAACGTTTTATGTACATGACTTAATTGAATCATATGTTTAGTCTTCTCTTTAGGCTATCATATGAAGCTGTTTAATGTCAGGCAGAAGGAAGATTTTTATGGATGCATTTAATAAGACACAAACTCACTACCTCTGCTGGCCCCCAGTTCTCGCCTTACGTCTTTTCTTTCTGGTGGGGGAAAAAAAATGGCACCTTAATTATGTCTCATAAATAATGACACCTACCAGCCTTCAATTACGTTATTTAGCAGGTTGATGTTACTTTCAAATCATATTTAATTGAGCATGAGTGACTTTACCAATGCTCCTACAGAGCTCTAGTAGGTGGGACGTTGACCCGTCATCGGGATCCTGGCTTGGTTGTTACGGCGGCTTGCCGGTGGCCTCTGGTACACAGGGCTTTGCCCTGGCAG